CGGGCGCGCGCGCAATATGTATAAATACACAAACGCATACACTCATATTATCAAATACACACAGAAACATACACATACACACAGACACATACACACATACTACATATACACATTCATACGCACATATTCTCTTACACTCCCTCTTTTCTACACACATATTATATACATAGAAACGACATGTCATACATGTTTACATTCACAAACAGACCACCCATTATACGCATTATATAATTTCACATATACATAAACAATGACTAACAATACAATTGATTAATTCAGCTAGATAAATAATTAGCATGCTTATTGGATTGAGATTGTATGCTCACAGCAACAGGCTTATCTTATCTTATCTTATTTTATTCTCTCATGTTCTTTCATGTCCTCCACTCCCCCACCCTCCCCATTTCCTATGTCATTAACAGCTCCACATTTCCTGTACCAATACTTTTCTTACAAATTAAATAAAATTGTGAATCCACTCTTTCCTCACAGGCCGGTTCATGGCCATCTCGGTACCAGACCTGTACCATCACGTGACCAAACGACCTAGTTACGACATGCTCGCCCAGGCCCCAGGAGAGTACGGCAACTGGGGGTTCAAACGTCCAGGACCTGATGGTGTCTTCACCCTGTTTCTGTGAGTAATACTACACTGACAATCAAAGGTACGAAAAAATATAAGAAATTATTGACTAAGTTTAATGCCCCTTGCAACACTGTTAGATTATTTATAAGACGAGACCTCCGGATTTAACATCCATCTCCCATAGGACCGAGACAGATGAGACAATTCGTGAAAAGTGCCTTACCCAAGGACATAACGTCGGACCGAACTAAGGCTTGAATCCGGGATCTTACGCTTAAGGGTCTGATTATCTACCTGGCTGAACACGCCAGTGAAAGCCTGTGTACACTCCTGCGACCCCTGTCCGATTCTGTATGAAGTGCCGTATGGCAGAATGGCAGCGACTAATCTGACCAACTATTCCCATACCGCTGTGATTTCAACAAAACCCAAGTCGATCGTCCAAATTCAAACAAGTTTAAATGTGAGGCAGACAAGAGAACAAACTTTAAGATGATACCAATAACTTTACATGCCCGAAAATTGATGAGAGCCTGATTCCATCACGATGCCTCACAAATCACAATTGGAGCAGACCTGACGCAATAATCAACCAGAAGATGATCCCAATTTTCTTTTTATAGAGAAGACCACACTTTAAAGCGCAACACGTTTTATTTTTCGACCGAGGCCCGAGAGTGCAACGACGTTGTGCTTAACTATGGTCGCTGCTTTCTGTCCTGTCTACGTTTTAGGTTTTCATGATAGCACATTATGTGCCTAAATTAAACAGTGCCTGCAAACAAATAAATGTCCCTTGCAGTCATTACAAGGCAAATATAATTTATCAGCAGGATTTTGTACTCACTGGATTGTTATTAGTCTTTCTCTTTCGTCTTACAGTTTATATAAAATGTAAATTTACTTTTGCTGTAATAACATATTATTATAATAAATGATAAATACCTGCATAACATTTGTATACCGTTAATGCTTGCTCAACAGCCAGCTCTAGGCTCTTTGCAATCTGTAGTATTGCCCCAGAAGACATGATAGCATTCTGAATTCGGCTACAATCCCAAATGTGTGGAAAGCAAACAGTGCAAGCTGCCATTTTACAGGCATCAAAACACTTTCGTACTGGGTGAAAACCTCCCCTGTCTAAGGCCCGGTTCATGTATCTATTAACATATCACACCCAGGTATGTCTAAGGCAGGGTACATGTATCTATTAACATATCATACCCAAGTATGTCTAAGGTCGGGTACATGTATCTATTTATTATATCTTTATGAACAAATCTAAGTCGTTCTGATGTCGATATAATATTTAGTAGTATTTATTTTTAAAAATATTACAACATATGTCCAGGTCGGAGCCCAAAGGGGTGATGGTGCCCCCTGTTTTGGTGGACATGAACAAGGACGGGGTGAAGGACGTTCTCATGACCGCCTTCACGGGGGCCATGGTGCTGTATGACGGGGAGACCATGGAAGTCATTTGGAAGATCAAGCTGGAGGAACGGGAGTCTTACAGGTGGGTGGAGAGATGAGAGAGGAGGGGGGGGGAGAGATGAGAGAGAAAGAGAGAGAGAGAG